ATGCTAACTAAGCAGGTAACAGATAGCCTGCACAGATAAAAGCTTAAAGATAACTCTAACTTGCTAAACACTGAAAAAGAATTATACCAAAATGAAAATAATTAAAACTGGAGGAGAAATTGAATACTAGAACAATTTTTCTTTATATTCCTTTGAACATTTATATTATGGACACTTTATGAATCTGTCTTTCAGGTTTTTAACTTCAGTATTTAACTACCTTCCTTAACAGCTTTATTGTGTTAAACTAAGTTCAATCAAACTCAAGAATAAAAGAAATAACAACACAAAAATAAGCCTTTTTATAACTTGCTAAAATATTCCATCTGGTTGACAAACTTCACGGACAAGAGACCTTTGAGGACAGACCTCGTTGTACTGAAAAAGGAAAATGAAGCTCAGAGATTAGAACTGACCTCCCAATTTCCAGTCTTTTTGCTCTTTGCTCTATATTGCATGGTATCTCCTATTTCTGAATTGAGTTACCAGTTCAAAGAGATGTACTTTATTAGTGCTAGTCTACCGTATTGTTGACTAGAAAACGAATATTAAAACAATTTCAGTAATCTGAACAACTTTAGTGTCCAGTATCTAGACATTTCTTAGGAGATCCACATTTTTAATTTTTGGTCTTTACTGCTAATATACTAGCTCCTGAGTACTTAAAGCATCTCTTACGCCCCACTTCCCCCGACAAGCTCTACCGCCAATAAAACTAAACTAAACTAAATATAAAAAGAAGATAGGGCACAGACAGCTAAATTCTATGAATAATCTGCTTTGTTTTTACCTACTCCCTAAAAAAAAAAACCTCTAAGCCGGGTAATTAACGAAGAGCTAAATAGTCTATTTTACCTCTTCCTTTAGCTTTGGACAATTTTCTGGTGCCCATAAAAACAGGAGGGGGAAAAACAAACATGAAAAAGCAGAGATAATGAAGCACAGGCCCGTAATGATTACATGCATTTTAAAAAATTGATTCCTGAATTAATATCAAAGGTAATTAAATTCAGGTGATATTAACTATTCTGAGTTGGATGTGTTGGTAACGGGAGTTTAAAATCCTGCATCCTATCTCAGGTTGAATTTAATTATATCTCCTAACCAAACAAAATGACAACTTAATATTGAGAATTAGTAGGCATGTTCTTGTAAATTAATGAAAAAACTAAAGCAGTTATATGTTTAGTTCTTCAATAATTCCATCTCATTCCATTAAGTTCAACTTCTATTTAATGAGTGTCTATAAGATGGTAGGCACAGTCATCTATTAATCATTAACTCTAGAGGTATCCCTTAATAGAGAATTTGACCCACTCAGTCCTTGAAAGGGTGAGCCTTATGGAACTCATAATATCCCATCAACCCTGCCATATTCTCACCACAGCTGACTAGATTGTGATGGACACCTGACAAGGCTGGGCCAATCTATATTCTTTTCCAGGAATCTGGAATGCAGATTCTGGGTCAGATGACATGAGCACTTGAACTACCAGGTCAGGCGGCGTGTGAGCCGGAGGTGTCAGAGAAAGCCAAAGTTGAAAATTGTGTTGGTGGTAGGAGCAAGGGCAAAGAAGTCATAAGTGAGCAAAGAAAGGTGATCCGAAGAGGTGACTTACTAACAAAGCAGAGCAAGTGACCATACTGCTTTAGGAGAAATTGGGGGAGAGGGCACGTATCACAAACCATGTGCATAAAACTTGGGTGTATTTCATTTCTTATCTTACCTTGGATGTCTGATGTCTATGAAGTTGCCTACCATGCCCTTTCAATAAACCCCTCCCTGACTGGAACAAGTATGAGTGAGTTTCTGTTCCTTACAGGCAAAACACCTTAGCATTATATAAGGTCCTGCAGCAGATATAAAAATGAGAAATGTCTCATTCAGTCAGCCCTCAAGGACCATATAGTTAGGAACAGCTAAGTAGACAAATAACTACACTATAAGGCAAATAAGATTATAAGAGGCATAAAAGTACTATGAGGTTTCAAAGACAGGGACAGATTATATATAATTCAGATCATCAAAAAGGTTTCATGGAGGAAAGGGAACTAAATAGTTATCATAACAGATGGTAGTTTGGGGTATTTTTAAAATGCGTTACTAAGAAAATGAAAATGTTGGAATCCTACGTCAGTCGACAATAAAAAATTAATTTTACTGGTCCATGAACTCCAAAAATCTGAAAACAACTGACTCATAGAACTTGGCAATTGACTGGTTATAAAACTGAGAGCAAGAGTTAAAAAAATGAGTTCTGTTTTCAGCCTAGATGATTTTGAGAATGATGATGCTGGAACAGAAAAGTTCACAACAGGTGGATATGGGGGCGAGAAATGAGCAGAGGAGGCAAGTTCTGTATTGGATATATTGACCTGAGGTAAGTGGCAGTGAGCAGTTCATTAATTCCCTGGGAAAATGGGAGAAAGAGGAACCATCTGAAGTACAGAAAACAGATTTCTCAAAAATTCCAAGTAAAAAACTGTCCTCTACTAGAGGAAATAAAAGACTCTTCACAGTATCTAGGTCTTTTCTTTTGCATTTTCAACATATTTTTGCACGGCTACTGATTTTCCTGGTCCAAGATGAGGGACTTTAAAGAACAGAGGTTAGGTAGTATTGGGGAAGAACCTGATAAGAGGATGGCCCTTCTCAGAAAAATGTATATAATGCAAATTTTGCTAAAAGGCCATTGATTTTCTGAAGTCTTAAGGATTGTTTTTTTTTTTAATACAAGAATATTTAAGGAACACCTATTATGTGCCAAGAAAGACAAGAGCAGGTAATAGATCTCAACTTAGACTAAGTTCAATAGCTTCATAGTGATGAAGTAAAAATGACTTACATGTACATCAAAAGAGGCATTCTACAGCTAAAAGAAAATTCTTTGTATACTACAATGGGTGTGTTTTGCTTATAGACATAGCAAGGAAGAAAATTTTAATTTCATATGATCGTTATGATATGATTGCCTCTGCAACCTATTTGAATTTAACATGCTCAAGAATACAAAAAATTTTACTTAAAACAAGGAAATTGATAAAAATTAAAAGCAAAGGCTTTCGTAGTTTGATTTTTACTCACTGCTTTTAAAGTTCCCTAAGTCATCACGTGTTTAATTTTGTTTTTAATTAAATGTACTATTTATAGAGTCTGGAACAAAGATTTTTCCAGACATTTGAACAAGTTCTGCTTGACTAGGTTCTGCTTGACCAAGTTCTGCCTGCCAAATCCTGCCATTTAGAAGAAAGCCTCACAGTTTACAACTGCATTACAATAGGCTAATGTCTAGAGGAGATCTCTGATGGTCAGTGTAAATCAAAACACCAAAAGAAGATGAGATACACCTTTGATTTCATAACCAATCAATCAACGCAGACAGTGTTAATGCCTTAAGTATTGTGGCTTATATCAAACTTCTGAAAGGCCACAAGGAGCAATGTCCAACATTAGCTGGTTCACGCTGGTTAAATGTTAAGGAGCACCTACTATGTGCCAGGGACCACGCTCATTCACAAATGATACCTTTATACAGAGACTGGCAATCTAGAACTACAATTTGAATTCATGCGTTCTGAAAGATCAGGTATTCAAACCAAAAGCTCAAGCTCCAATGCATAACTTTACTCCATCCAAAAAGCTTTTACCAGGGTTTCTGCAATCTACAAACCACCAAATACATTAACATGAAGAGACTAACATGGGCACCCAAAATAAAACCCAATTCTGGAGTACAAAATTAGGTTACGGTGGTGCATCCTGTTCTCTTGAGCTTTTCAACGTGGAAATTTGGAACTTCTGAAGTGACTTCTATTTCTCAAAAAACAATTGTTTAAAAAAGTAAAGTTCAATTGCTTACAGAAACCATTATACCTGCTTATTCTTCTCCAACAGATCCCTAGAAAATACTTATAGTGAAGAAATGTGGCTTGATGTATTGGTAAGCTGATGCCAGGGCACTTTATATGGCTACTGAGCCTCTAAAGGTAGTCTCTCAGAAATTTTAAAACTAATCATGCCGAGTAAAATGCATCTGACTATACATAAATGCCACTTTAAACAAATGTCAGGTAAAATAAACAGTAATTCCTATTTTTAGTTTGAAGAGACCAGAAAAGGTAAAACAGCTCATCAGAAGTCTGTCACAGCTTTTACAGTAAATATGTCCAATTCTGTCATTTACTCTAAGGTAATTCCATTCTCACTGCACATCATCCCTAGCAACTATTAGGCAACTACCAAAGTGTAATCTATTGTCCACTACGTCTTTTGCCACAAACCTCAGACAAGCCAGTCCTTAAATTTCCTCAGCTCGCGCCCTTTCCCTTTTATAAAAACAAGGAGTTATAAAACCTTAAGAGAATAAAAATGAGAGAAAAGGTGGAAAAGTATACACAGCCTCTGCACCCAAGCTCTTTTCCTTTATATTTGAGAATTTGTAATTTATCTCAGCCTTCCTGTTTCTGGATAATCTAGGGTTCCTCCACCTGACCAACAGTTCAAAACGCTCTCTAATATATGACAGGGTCTTTTTGTGACCACTCTATCCTAGTCCCTCTATTTGTAGTAATCATTCAAACCTTCCAGCTCCTATCCTGTAATAAAGCATCACCATGCTCTAAACTTACAAGCCCATCACACTCGTTTCGTCCTCGCTACCACACTCCAAGCCCTTCGAAACCTTCTCTGATATCCTTCCCTTTATGAGCTTTACCCACACAGCAGTCTCAATGTCCTATTGCCCCACATCCCTAAACAAACTCTTCGCTGAACGAAATTCCAGCACCGAGTCACACCCTCTCCAGCCTAATTCCTACAACCCCAAAACCCCACCCCCTCATCACGCCCTCAGGGCCTCGGCCTCCAACCCAACACCCCAACCCCTGCCCGTCACGCCCTCCACTCCCTTCGGAGTCCTTCCCCTTAAGACCCCCACTTCAGGCCCCCAAGTGCCTAGGTCCTCCCGTGTGCCCCGCCAGCCCCGCCCCCAGCCCCTCACCGAGTAGCAGCAGCTTCACTTCTTTGGCCGCTTTCTCCCCGTCCTCCCGCAAGTTGCGGTCGATCATCTTGCTCCGCTCCACCGCCGCCTTGTCTTCGGCGCTCAATGTGCAGCCCATGGCGGCGGCGGGAGAGGGGACCAGGCCCGGGCTCACTCACACACCGCGGAGACTGCGGTCCGGCTGGCCGAGACAGCGTCTACTGCTGGGCGGCGGTCCTCTTCGTCAGCTCCCGGAGCGCCCAGAGGACCCGGATATCCGGCGTTTACGACACTTCCGGCAACGCCCCGCGGCCGTTACCGCTCATGCTTCTCTAGCTAGGGTAGAGGAGGTGCAACCGGAAGCGGAAGTACGGGGAGGAGGACGGCTGGTTCCGCTGCGGTTCCCGCGGAGTACCGGGGTACTGTGGCACTCACCTTGTGCTGCTCGATATTAGTCCCTTTTCACGCTTTCGGCTGTCTTAATTAGATAATGTAGAAAAACTGGGGACTGGCTTCAGTTCGTGGCGCCCTCACAAGGTCATACAACCGTGCTTTTGGAAGGGGAGGTTGGTGGGGGGATTCCCAAATGAGAACCCGTAGGCCGCACGGGAATTTCTACTGGGAATTTCTCACTGACCAGAAAACCCCCTTTAGTCTCTGGCTGTGGAAACCCAGGTTCCCTGTCCAAGTATAGGACATGTTTTCTGCCGTGGTCGTCTCAGCCAGATCTATGGGATGGGAACAAACTACAGAGTCTGCTCCCCCGCCACTTTTCTCATCCGAGATGTGTACGACTAACCATGCCTAGGACTTTAGCGATCCCTTTCAGTCTTCTCTGGCCCACTGCCTCCTGCTCTCTGGTCCTTGTGCCATAATGTACGAATTTCTGTGGGTATGAGAAGTGCCCAGCTACTGTGTTGGCAAAGGGCCTCTTGAAATCGCTAGCAGATACTCCCTGAAATGTAAGCGTGTAGTTCATAAAATTTTCATGCTCTTTCCTAATGTAAGCCCGTTGAGCGCTCACAGACCGTCTGCGTTAGGGGGCTTAGGATTTCTACAGAGATTAGTTCACCTCAGTCCCACACCCCAAAACCAGTGCATCCTGTAAATCTAAAATTTCCTGTTCTGGTACCACACAAAAAGGGAAGTTCTAAAATTTGCCTCTCGGCTGTAGTATCATGTGAAAATTATTAAATCCGCTATGAGAGCCCAGACCGAGTCTTTTTCACTCATAATCCTGGGTACTACCGTGAAAGTGACCCTAAATTACCTTTACTGTCGAACAGTCCCAAAATAACTCCATACATTTTAAGGAGGGGAATTCTTTAATCACTTTTTCCTGTGATTAAAAATTATTTTCCTAATAGAATCTAAACCTTCAAATATAAGGCCCCAAAAGAAAGGTCTCCGTGGTGATGAGTCAATAATTAGAGCGATTTCTTGAGAGCCACCTTACACAGCCTCATCTCCCATAACTTAATATCAGTTCATCAAAGTTTGAAAAGTCTCCTACTCATTCCCTAACAAACTGTTAGAATAAAAGGGACTGCTTTCTTGTGATCAATACTTGTGGGGAAAAAGGGCAAGAGGAAAAGGAAGAAAAACCAGCATTTATTGAGTACCTATTAGCCAGGTATGGCTAGCTAGGTGCTTTCACCTGTCATCTCTTTGAATCCTCACAACAACCCTGTGAGGTAGGTAATGTTATCCCCATATTTACAGATGAGGAAATAGACTCAGAAATTAAGCGTCTTTCTCAAGTTCACACAGTGAGTAGGTAGATCTGTCTGACTCCAAATTCGCCCCTTTCTACCATGTCAGATGTTACCTGGGGAGACCTGACAACGGAAGGTTTTCATCTGGGATTAGGAGTTCCCCAGCACCACCAGGGTGCAGAAAAAAGTAACTGACAAGACAATTGTCTCAACCTGCTGATTCTTCAGTGGGTTTGAGAGAAATAACTTTTGAATCCAGGAACAACTTTCACAGCTAAGGATTACACATTGAATTTACCAAGCGATCCTGAAAACTCCTAGAAGGTGGTCATGGCAGAAACTGTTGGGAAAGTTCTCAGCATAATAGAATAGAAATTTTTATTTCCTTCACGATCCACTCAGGGAAAAATAAATGGCAAACGAACCAGCGTATATCAAATTCTGTAATAAATGCCAGTGAGATCACAGTGTCAGGAAATTTCAGCCTGAATTAGAGTTATCCTTGCACTTAAATGTTTCTTCTTTGATGTATGGGAAAGAAGGGTTGGAGGGCAAAGTCAAAGGAAAAGGCAAAATAAATTAACAAAATGGCTGCCAGACAACGTTTAATGCCCTCCCACCCACGTACAAGCACCTTGCCTATTTCCACTGAACGCACACTGCCACCTACTGGCAATGCGTAGGGACTACTAGCAAATCAGTGACGTTTGGAAGCGTTTTCCCGCTACCTAGGAAAGAGAACTCCTCCATTAGGAGTTTATCTTAAAAGGGGGAGGAGAGAGAGGAGAATATATTTTGCAATCACAAAAGACTCTTCTCGGTATATATACTATCTAAGGGATTTTCTCAATGTAATAGGCGCTAGACTAGAGTAAGTCTAGTGGTAGGAAGACAGAAACCTGGAAATTTTCCTAGATCTAAAGGTGGAAAGCTGTTTGCCCAGTTTCATTTAATATTTTTTTTCAACTACAGCTTCATTTACAACCCCCACACTTTCCACAGTCTGTAGGAATCCTCCACGTAGGTATTTTGCTGCAATGGACTGAACTCTCAGAAGTTAGAACCATGAATGTATTCTCCAGTACATTTCTCTAACACATTCTGTGGTGCTTCACCAGACGTAAACAAACGCTCTGTTAAAATACAAGGCACCTGATCAAATTAGACTATGAACTCCTTGAAGGTAGTGACTCCATATCTTCTATGTGGGTCCCAGAGAATATTGGATATTCAACTATTATGTACTGAATTAAACTGAAGGAGTCGATGTTATTATCAGTATAACTTTTATAATAAGAATTATTTATTGGCTGTTCAAAGGGGAAACTAAACCATTCCCACCAGACTATATTCCCCTTTGATGCTCAATGAGCCAGAAATTCATTCAAATACAGACTGAACCACTCTCTGGTCCTGCCTCGACCTTTTAATTTTAATGTTACCTGATTCAATTGAGGAAAGTGGATGGACAAATAGTCCCAGATGGATGTCCTATCCAGTTTGCAATTATTCCCTCTCCCTTGAAAAATACCACCACCAATAGCAACCATCACGATTCCCATAGTCTCAATCAGTGAACAACCAAGCCCCACTCCTGTGCCCTCTCTCCAACCCAGGACTGCAGATAGGAGAGAGATTTAAGTCTTTGTCTCTGAAGCTAATTTGGGGAGCGATGAATGGGAGTAGGGAGGCATTTAATGAACCATGGAAACCCCGCCCTACTCATTCCCAACCTTAGTCTCTGTATCCGATTGTCCAGGGGCTGGAGGTGGGTCACTGTCATGAGGAGAGAGATCAGGGAGGCCAGTCCTAGAGGAAAAAAAAAAACAAGATTTACAGTATTATTGGTCAGGTTAATTACCTGGCCTCTCTGTATCCAACCACCTTAGCGATTCAAATGCTAACCCCCACCTTCAGTCATCAACCTGCAATCTTTCTACTTCTTTATCCTAAAAGACAAGAAGAGCCATCCTGTCCTTGTCTTGCCTCTGCTGAGATCCAGCCCCAAGCTCAATCTCCCATGTGCAGGAGAGAGACAGAGAAACAGAACAGAAGGACTGTTCCTGGAGGGTGAGAGAGAGAGCAACGGTCAGCTTTCTTGTTTTCTACTCTATGTACCCTCATTGCTATTCCCAGTTGCTTCTAGCCAAACTCAAGGAAAGAATATACCCACGTGGTCCTCAGGTCTAAAACCAGAAAAAAACATCTATTAACTTAAATGGAAACACTTGGCTGTAATTTAGTTCTTAGCAAGGAGATAGAAAGACACAGGACATTTTCTTACCTTGCTTGGGCGCAATTACTGCCCTGGATAATTACACCGAAAAATAAAATATCCTAAAGAGTCCCCAGAACAACTCCAAACCTGGCCTGCTGCCCTATACTCTCTTATTCCTACCCTTAGAAAGTTTCCCTGCTTCCTGAGGCATGGAAAGTTCACTAGTTGAAAGGTATCATCTCACCTTCGTGACCCTTTACTCTCATCACCATCTCACCAGGTTCCCTCCCCCAGTAGTCAAGGATCATAGCCATGTCCAAGGCTTTTGCCACATGTCCATCCTGTTGGCTCTGTTCCCGACTCAGAAAACACTAAGCAAAAGCTGTGTGCAGAGACCCCAGCCCCAGCCCCAGCTAGCGGGGAAAAGGTGATCCCACAAGGTGTTCCTTGCAGTCCTAACCGGCCCCCAGCCCCATCTCCTTCCAAGTGTCCAGGAGGCCATCATGATTCGGGTCGAGGGGAGGGGGCAGGACGGAGGTAGCTGTCTGACATGATCATGTCGCTGGTGAGTTGTTGTTCCAGGAACTCAGAGGTCTCTTCAGCTATTTGACCCGGAATTCGAAAGTCAACAGCAGCTGGCTCCTGCTTGGGGCTGGGGAGGGGTCGGGAAACCCAGGACTCTGTGGGACAGCCAGTGCCCTGAAGGAACTGCAGGAAGTTCTCCTCAATGGAGCCCTCCCGGCTAGGTAGCCTCAGTTCCTCCTCCGGAGCCTGCTTGAAGAAGCAGACAAACTGCTTGCTGAGTTCTCCCCGGATCTGCCGATTGAGACATCCATAGAAGAAAGGGTTAGAAGTGAAGCAGAAGTAGCCGATCCAAGTCACCACATTCTCCACCTGCCCAGTCGAAATGGGCTGTGCGCTCAGGGCAACGTAGAGATGAAAGGAAAAGTAGGGCAACCAACAGAGCAGGAACTGTCCGCCCACAGCCAGGAGGACCACTGCCGCCTTCCCTCCCCCAAACGTCCGGTGTGGGGTGGTCTGGTGGGCCCCCGAACTGGTGACCATTGTAGAACGGCTACTGAGAGACTCAGAGCGTTGTCGGGGCGTCTCCATCCACGTGGGCAGCGGTCCATGCTGCATGGCAGCCACGCGGGCTACTCGGAACATGCTGCAGTAGACCACAAGGATGAGGAGCAGGGGCAACAGGAAGTAGAGGATAGCGAAGACCACCACGAAAAGCTGGCAGTAGGCATTGCGGCTCCATTGGAGTGAGCAGCCTGGGGGGATGCTGGGAGCTCCCTCCTCCCGGGAGACCCTTCCCAACACTGGCACAGAAGCCA